GGGGGGGGGGGGGGGGGGGGGTCCACTTTTGTCAATTGAGTACTATGTCAATTCACCCCCCAAGCGCTCGCAAGTTCTTCCCATCTCTAAAACTGACAGTGAGTCCGATGTGCAATTGTCTCTGCGCTCCGGTCAAAGATTCGCCTTCAAGCATGCCGGATACCATTGGCATGACATGAGTGCTAATAAACAGCGAAATTGCATCGAAGGAACTTCTATGGGAGCGATCAATCAAGACTCCTGCCTGAGTCCGAGTCTGCCATAGTCCCGAGCGAATTGGATGAGCGGGTGAAATCCCTCTAAATAAATGCTAAGGTCATGAGTATTAAAAGGGGAAAAGAGAGGGGAAAAGAGAGGGGAAAAAATTTACACTGTGAGTGTTTTTCTTATACTCTTTCATTTTTTCTGGTTGTTACACGCAGTTATTTTCTCTCAAATTCAATGAAAGTTTACGATGAGCAACCTGTGGAACTTTGAAGGACAAGCTCGAGGCTCACTGAGAATACTCAGAGCGTTACAAAAAATGTCTTTCGCATGAATTGCATTTTTGCAGTCGACGTATGCGTCTTTTTCCTTGTCTTCTCATGAAAAATTCAAAGCAAATAATCGGATCGAATTTTTCAGGCGGGGATCAACACATCGCAGTGAAGCAAAATTTTCTTATGTAAATAGCTTTCACGAGGAAAAATAATCATTCAAATCTTTCGAAAATTTTTCTCTCTTTTCCCCGTGCCTCATCGCATCTCTTTCTCTTCCCATCTCCATTTTCTTCCTCATTTCTTCATCTCATTTTCTTCCTTTTCCCTCCTCTCGAATAAAAAATATCAAATATAAGGGAGGGGACTAGGATCCTCCTGTTTCACCATGCGAACATTTTTCAATCTTCGAGACCGTCCCTTGATCACGTAACGCTATGTTTGCGGTTTTTGACACACACCCCTACCCCCGCGTAACGCCGCGTAACGCTGGGAGAGACCCCCCCCCCTTTTGGAGCGTTACGTAATTTGAACCGATTATTTTCCAAACCACATAAGCGTCAAAATTGCGAATGCGAGAAAAATCAAAAAGACCGTTTTAATCGCTTTTTTAACAATCTCCGAATTCCAAAAAAAGTATGTTCTTTTAAAGCGCTGCTTCGAAATCAGACATAACTAGGGTGGCAAAAATTCATGAGCAATAAAATCTTGAAATTTCTAGTAATTTATTTCATGAAAATTCAGAAATGTATGAAAGATGTTGAAAAATACTGGTTCCTTTTCATGTTTCGCAAAACGTAAAAATTAAGACTTTCTTCTTTTATGAGTGTTTGAGTGCAGGTTGCATACTCTAGCCCCTGAAAAATATGGAATATTTCACAGCCTCACGAAATTTCATGAAATATTTCACTGAAAATTCAAATCTTTCATTTCTTTCTTACGTTCCATGCCACCCTGGATATGACTGATTATGCTAAAGAAGAAAACAACCCCTCCGCCACTAAAATAGAGATTGGCGCCTACGTGATTAGGATAATGATCGGTTCATTTGAGGACGGCCCCCGCGGGCCAATCATTGACATTTATAGACAGAGCTATAGACAAAGAAGACATAAGGAGTGTAGAGTGATCCTATTGGTTGAAATGGGTGGTTTTTATAGACCAAGGGGGTAAATGATGAACTGACTATCGGGTGTTTCGTGGGTTGCCGTTATTAGGTCTATTACCTACCTACTTTGTCCATTGCAACGCACCCGCTCCGCTGCCACCAACAGCTGGATCCCTCCATATCCTTTTTGTCCTCTCTGTCTATTGCTCTGTCTATCAATTTCAATGATGAGCCCTAGGGCCAAAAATTTCGGCTATTGCTAGTTTGGCAATGTTTTAAGGCTTTCTTTCCCTGCTGGCAGGTCGTGTCGGGAGTCCTGCTGACATGAAAACGGAGACCCTGAGCCTGGCGACGGAGGACACGCACGACTATCCGGACAGCCACAGTCGCACCGACTCGGACTCGAGCCGCCATGAGCTGCTAGACGCCCACGCACACATCGTCCAGCTGCCGCCCCTCCCGGGCGCCCCCGCCCCCGCGGAGCTCGCCTCCGTCCACGTCGTCCAGCCGGACCTCGTCACCTCCTCCGCCGAGCCCAAAGCCAACCCCAACCCCGAGCCGACCCTCCTCGAGGTCTGCGTCGCTCCGCCGCGGGATCCCCGCCAAGAGGATTACCCGCTCCCCTCCGAGGACACCTCTACCGCCACGCTGGCCACCTCCAATTCCACAGGTACTTGTCAAATTTATAAGTTCAGCACCCCCCCACTGGGAAAAAAAAACACATTGGATCTAGAGTCCAGACTCTAGAAAACATTGACAAGAAAAAGGACTCTTGATTCCACCAGATTTAAGCTTAAATCAAAAGGAAATCCGCTCAAATTAGGAGGCTTGGTTCTTGATTTAAGCTTAAATCTGATTGAATCAAGAGTATTTTTTCTTGTCGATGTTTTTAGGAGTCTGGACTCCAGATCCAATGTGTTTTTTTTTTTTTCCAGTGCCCTTTTATCCCATCAGTGAAGCTCCGGGGGGCTTTGAAACCTTCAGCGGGCCGATTATTGAAATTTATAGACGACACGGAGAAAAAGTGTGAGGGGTTATCCCCTAAAATTGTGGTCAGCGTTCGAAACTTACCTTTGAGTTTTAGGAGCCATGTGGCGCATCAAGCCCGATTTTTAGGCGCCATTGAAGAATTTTTAGGAGCCAAATTGACTTTTTGCCTATAGATTACGGCGCATACAGTGAAAAGTCAGACGCAAGATGTTTTCGTAACAGAACTAGTAAGTAGCTGTAACTTGGGAAGACAAAAGCACTAAGAATGATATCGTGAAGAATAGAAAAAGCAAACTTTCACTTGTAGTGCTGAAAATTCTGAGTTTTTTCAATTCAAATAGATTTATTTTTCTTTCTTTTATGTGCCTTCCTGTGAAAATCCAGATTTTTAAGGGGCAATTTTTAGAGGCCACGTTGGCGCAAAACCTTCATTTTTTAGGCGCCATGGCCGATTTTTTAGGCGCATTTGGCGCGTTGGCGCCTGTGAGTTTCGAACACTGATTGTGGTACTACCTCAATGTGTTGGATGATATGGACATTTCTAATTAATTTTGGTAGTATCGCAACTCAAGTTGGGGTAGTACCGCAACATTTGGGTTAGTACCCTACTTTATCGGGATACTACCATGGGACCCGACCAATCAGAGAGCGGCTGTAGTAAAAGGACTAAGATGGCAATACTCTCTCGTATATAGGTACTCTAGGTTACCCAAGAGGACCCACAATTCCGGGCCTCTACGTCAATTTAGTGACCTAGCATTCAATCGAAGGAGGAACCCTAGTGTGCCGTGTAACGAATGGTGAAAGTTGGCAAAACACGTATCTAGGCTTGCGACGTTGTAGACATTGAGCGCATCGTGCTGAGTCCTAAAACCTCAGCGAATTAATTCGCGTGCCTCAAGTTGCGGCGGATGCTTTTGAAGGCGAAACAAATGGTCTCAATCCTTCGTATGGGCATTCCTCAAACCGTGCGTGAACAACTGAACACCCGCCTATAGTTTCAGACGCTAGTGCTAACTTCACCATGAAGGAATTCTTCATTATATCGAATTGGATCAAAATTCTAAGACATATATCATATAACCTCTTTCAATGGCACTAATGAGGAAAAATCGATATATATCGCTTTCCCGTGACGTAACACTAATAATTTCTGTACGGAGACGGAGCAATACAATCCTCGGAAGATCAACTCCACGGCGTTATACATGACTTTGAATAGTTTAAATCCAATAAGCTACGCCCTCCAATAAGCTCAGGTGGGAGAGGGGGGAAGAGGGGGGGCAAGAGAGAGATTTTCTTATTTTAAATAAATTATTAAGAGTAGTTTTGGAGTCATGGGTTCAGTTACCTTTCACTGATACGATTTTTACGTTGGATTCTAGTAAGATTGAAATAGTCAAGAATACGAGAGTCCGTGTCTATAGAACTTTTGGCCCGAGATTGGTAATTTTCTATCTATTACGGACAATTTACCGTTACTTTTTTAGATGTAAGAACACTTACACCCATTTAGGCACCTCCTCATCAAACTGTGTTCGTAGAAATAGCTCCTAAAAATTTTCTGTCAGAAGTGGGATTCGAACCCACGCCCTCATAGAGGACCAGAACGCTCGCATCTGTTGGAAACAGACAAGACAGGGTCTTGAGTCTGGCGCCTTAGACCGCTCGGCCATCCTGACATGTCAGTGCTCCGACGATAATAGTGTTTCATGTCTACATTGTACGCGTAGAAATATCGGGTGTGAATTAATTAATTTTTAATTTTTTATCTATAAAATGCACATAATGAATCACCCGACTGCCGTGGATTTAATCTCAGGTTATCGGTGAGCAGTGCGTAGAGTACACTGCAGTGCGAGTTTTCCTCCTTCCTCTGACCCCTCTCCTCTCTCTCTTCTTTGCATTTCAAATGCACTTTTTAAAAAATCCATTTCGGAGATATTGCGGAGGGCCAAAAAAGGTCTGAGCCCCACTTCATTTTTTTTTTTTTTTTTTTTTTTTTTTTTTGGTCGGATCTGTGCAGTAAAAAAGAATTTATGGAGAAGTAAACGATTAGATGAACATCTACGAACTGGCACATACCTATTACTTGCCACTGGATAAATCCGTGGTTTTGGACGAATAATCATATCAAAGAGTGTAATTAGGGGAGGGGCCGGGTGAGGGAACCCCTACCCAACCTTTTTGACCAACAAATATAGTAAATTCTATGGTGGTTTTTTTTTTGGAATTTTTGAAATTTTGCTACCCCCCCCAACCGAATTTTGGGTTACTTAAATAAATATGTTGATATTTCAAAAACGCAGTCATGTTGTCCATAAAAGTCTATATTGAAGAAGTGATGATTCAATAATGAATGTCAAATTATGTGCTTATTTTTACCAAAATAATCCACAAGGTCCTAGATAGAGCTGAGAAATTAAATGTGGGCACATTATCTCAGATCAGGTATCTACTTACGCCCAAGGGAAATGCGCCAAGTAGATCGATAGAGTCTCGATGCGAAATGTCACTGCACAGATTAAGTCTGGGAACCCGTTTGTGAGTACTAGTCATGCTATTATGCATGAGTCAGAAGTAAATCGGTTTCCAGAGCCGACCTATAGAGTATTAGTCCAGGCAATCTAGCATAAAATTGGACCTTAGGTGGAAAAAAATCGGAAGCAAATTCCAACTAAAGGGCGTTAATGTACCCCCGTAGGAGTGTAGTTTCTGAAAATTCCCCAACTTTCCGACGTGCGGAAAGCCCTGAAAAATCAGGGAACTCCCTGAAAATTCGCCAATTTTCAAACGCACATAACTTGGCGTCAAATTATTGTATTGAGATCATTTTTTTTTTAAATTGTCAGAAATTGAGTCAGATACATGTTAACCACAACTAAATTTGGAGAAAAAATTACCATAGTTGTCAAATTTACGAAAAATTGAAAATTTGTTTTTTCTAAAAATCTTTAAAGCTGATTTCAGGTCCCAAATCGTTAGAAATCGGAAAAAATGCCTTCAATAAAAGTTGTAGAGAATTGTTTAAGCTTTAAAACGGTATATGAACGAAATTTGTACGATGATTTGTTGCCAAACTACGCGCAAAAAACCCGGGATTTTTTTCCGCGCGAGAGCGGCAGATCCTTCCGACTCAACGCGTAGCCACTTGTTAAAATCTAAAATTTCTCCAGGATCCTACTTTTAACATATAATTATGAAATTGGGAGTATTTACTTGTTTAATAAAAGTATGAGAACACCCCCTCTCCTTCCCTCCCTATCCCTTGTTGCCATAATTATTATAAAAATGTTATCTCTATCGCGTTAGTCAGAGAGAAATACGGTTTGACCCGGAACAAATGCATAACACACTTTTCGTATGTAAACGTCATCAGTAGATCCTCCTGAATAACATACTAAAAATTTACCACGGACCGACCCCGGAGCACCCCCCTAAATGCCTAAAATCAAAATGGCGGCCATAATAAGGCCGTATGGGATTTCGGTATTTTAAAATGTTCCTATAGTGTCATGTGAGGTATCTTTTCCTATGTAATTTTGGTCGCAAATTTCATATATGAAGTCAAAAAAGCCCCCGGGTCAAAAGGGGTGCCCCAAATCCAAGATGGCGACTAAATTTGAAAGGCAAGGGAGGTCATTTTTTATCTTTTACGCGATTGCGCGAGTGAGGTATCATTTCCTACATAATATTGGTCGTGGATTTCATTAATGATGTCAAAACAGCTCCCCGATCAAAGGGAGTGCTCTAAATCCAAGAGGGCGGCTAAATTTAAGAGGCAGGAGGGGTGCATTTTTTAGATTTTTGCGTGAAAAGGCGGGTGTGGTGCATCAATTCCTGGATAATTTTGGTCGTGAATTTCATTATTGATATCAAAATAGCTCCCCGATCAAAGGGAGTGCTCTAAATCCAAGGGGGCGGCTAAATTTGAGAGGCAGTAGGGGTGCATTCTTTAGATTTTTACGAAAAAGGCGAGTGAGGTGTATCAATTCCTATGTAATTTTGATTTGCATTTTTTAGATTTATCCTTTCGCATGCACCACCCTACACCATGGATTGGAAGTGTATGCCGAATATGGATAAGTAGATTTTAATTAAGTCCATGCAATGTCCAGTAATAGGAAATAGACGAAGAAAAAGAGAATAAATCCCCTTGCAGAAACAGTTAAGGAATGTTAGAGACGTACTAAAATTGGAAGCGAGTATGTTTTGCTTGTTAATTCAATAGGTAGGGCAAACGCGCGTTTTCTAGCATACATTCCTATCAGTCGTACTATTATGATCTTTGTTTTATTAAAGGATAACTATTCACACCTAATTTTCTGTTCCAAGGCCAGAAATAAACGGAAAAAGACACCTTCCTTGCCGTGTTATTTTAAGCAAGGGTTTGACACTATGCAGCGTACTTGTAAGGTCATGCCCCGACTTTTGCAGAAGTTGCGCCAACTTCAACCGTAAAAACTTGGAGAGACCCGAGGTGAAAGATCCTGACGAGCTTGACACAGAATTGGAATCAGCACGCTGATTCAGATTTTATCCTATCTTGACAAGAAAAGGCACGTCTCGTGAGCAAAAACAATTCATTAGATGCTCCTGTTAGATTATTTTAATACCGTGAACAGCCATGATGGTCATCTGCTTGCATAACACGTATCATTTTTTGAGTAAAATTAATCT